TTTGACTCAAAATAAGCAGCATGGCAGCAGTTTTATTATATGAATAAATGTATGATGTGACAGTAATGGAGATGGACACATTGTGTTTTTAATGGTTTTCTATTGAATTTATTTAGGATCTTACACATGTACACAATTGTGATGTTAACAAGAACCATCAAGCTCCAGATGATATTACTGCAAAAAGGCATATGATTAGTTAAGTTAAGCCTAAATGCGTTGTTACTATTAGTTTAATAACCAACAAGCAGCTGAAATACAAATGTTCATTTTAAAAGTGACTTTCAGCAGGCAGGGATCAGTAAGACAGCCTTAATGATGAATGATCAAACTACTCAGTCTTAAAATATCTCTATTAAACTTTATACTATTAAAAAACTCAGTCAAATCTTTGGAAATATTCAGAAATGGTGGCGTTGACAGGAAACCGAGAGCTCGTTGGCTCTTGCTAAACTAAATGAAAAGCTTTCAGATGTACTTTAAAACTGAAGGCTGTTTTTATCTGTGAATCAACAAGCTCACACTGCAGACCAGTCGGACTTGTTCACCCTCATGTTTTTATAGGGCGTGTAGTGCCGAGAGATAGGAGTCGGAGGCGGTGCATTGAAGGTGAAAAGTGGTGCTTTAATGAGCAGCAGAAAACCACATGTTGTCGGGTCGCAGCCCGGGAAGAAGAGAAAGAGAAAGGAAGGAGGACACAGTATATACCCCGGAGGTACAGTAAGCATAAGTGTCCGTGCGGAACAATACCCCCAACCTGTAGTTCCATGAGTGAATTATGTATTAATAAGTGATCACTACACAAGCCCCCCCAGAATTCAAACATGGCACAATCCCCGCGTCCGGGAGGAAGCACCACAGGGGCCGAGGAGGGCGGGGTCGCAGGCGAGGGCCGGGGCATGGAACGGGCCGTCGTCAGGGGGCCGCAGGAGAGGTCAGGGGCCCTAACGAGGGCGAGGGCGAGGGCATCCCCACCGGGGGGTGGGGGGCTGGCCGGAACGGGCCGTCGTCAGGGGGCCGCAGAAAGCAGGGTCGCTGTGTTGCGACGTGGGGACGGGCGTGAATATCCCGGTGGTCCCCAGCAGGGAGGAGCGCTGCCCGGCCGCAGGCGAACGCACAGCGGCGGCGGGCACGAAGTCCTCGGGAGGAAGGAACCGTGTCCCTGGGAGAAAGGAGCCGTGGACAGGGGAGAGGCCAGACGGGGCGCCGTCCGAAGCCGCCGTCGAGGCGAACCGTGAGCCGCGGTTAGAGGAGAGGCTAGGCAGGGTCCAGAAGCGCGCCACCCACGGGCCGATGAAAGCATGGGCGACGTCCGAAACCGCTGAGGCGAGGGAAGAGGCCAGACAGGGTCCCGAAGCGCGCCACCCACGGGCCGATGAAGGCATGGGCGACGTCCGAGACCGTAGAGTCGAGGCGAGACGGGGTCCCGAAGCGCGCCACCCACGGGCCGAAGAAGGCATGGGCGACGACGGAAGCCGCCGTCGAGGTGGTGAAAAAGCGAGAGGGTCCACACGAGGCCGACCAGACATGGTCGAACCTCCTCTCAGGCACCAGAAAAAAACTCAAAAGGGTCGTCCTGTCCACGATCAAAAACAGGTGGGTGAAATTGTGAGAGGATCCACGCGAGGCTGACCAGACTTGATCGAACCTCCTCTCCGGCACCACAAAAAAAAAAGGGGCTAACAGTCGGATGTCGATAGCCAATGGATGTCGTTAGCCGCTAGCTGCTAGCCGTTAGCTGTCGTGGCTAGCCGTTCTCGACGGCCGTTAGTCGCTGTCGGCGGCGGCGGCCCCGGAGCCTCTGCCACCAATCAGGAGGAGACAGCCACGGCCATTGCCGTTCGAAAGCGCTGGAGACGCTGTAGTACATATGCCAGGCCTGTAGATGGTGCTGTTCTCACAGAATCTGCCCTTGCAAAAACAGAGCTAACATTTTTCAAATTGAGCGAAATGAGGCATGGCTAAAATGCATGATCTGTTTGGTATTTTGAAAAAAGAAAAGTATAAATATGCCTTATATAGGTATGGTCCTACACTATATTATTCAAATATAGCATGATAGATCCACTTTAAAAAAATGTACTTGACTATTTCCATTTGTATATTTCTACCTCACTACATTTGTCTAAGTGTCTGATGGCTGGAGCCTGTGTCAGTGTGAGCGGTCCGACTTCTAATGATTATTATCTCATTCTTCACCTTGAACACACTCCAGCACTGCCTGTACAGGTGAGACTAACTGACTGCAAACGTCCCGTCTGATTGGGAGATAAATAAAGGGTTTTTTAAATATCAAAATTGCATGATATGTACTTGTAAAGTCTATTTTAATAATGCTTTGTTTATATGCTGGCGCTAATAATTTGAAATGCACAGTCATTATTTTTAAAGAGGTGGATGGTGAATAATATTACAATTAAAAATGTTCACTTACATCATGACTTTGTTTTTTATTACAGTACAGGTTTTCTGAAATGTTGTGTTTGAATATGTGCTCACTTATACAGAAACAGCATAGACATGTGTACACTGGTTAAAACCAGGATCAAATTATTGTTTAATTGTCGACTTATTAGAGTAAAAGGTTTTTACAGAGGTGAGTTTTGATATGGGTTTGTACCACTACATAAATACAAAGAAACTGTCAGCAGCCATTAATTATAAAAATATTCTGCATGTTTTTTAGGGATATAAATCTTATAATCCTTCACGCAATCATGAATAATCAGTCTATAAATATGGCTATTGATGATATATGAAAAACCACAAAACATTTTGCAGTCCACAGGAAAATAGGTTTAAAAAAAAAAAAGTAACCAATATGACTGTTATTGGATTCCCATTTAATCTGGCATTATCTAATAATAATTTAGTTAGGAATCAAATAAGCCAGAACTTTCAAAACTGTCAACCATTGGTGACATACCTTCATCGTTTAGCGACATAATGCTTGAATAGCACGTTTTGTAGGCAGTTGGCTCAAGGAATAAGAGGTTAAAACTTGGACAGTGTCTGCAAAGACTCAAGACAACCTGTCTGCACAGAGCAAACAAAAATATGCTATGAGACAGTGAACAAATGTGCAATCTCATAGTGCGTCCCCACACACAGAAATATGTCTATGAATACTTCAGTTGTACTGTGTGAATGAGGTCAAATGACATGTTATATTTCAATGTGTGTTCATTGAATTATAGTGGTAGAAGTGTTTCAGGTAGTTTCTGTGCTGAATGCGAAATTGATTGACTTAAAGGGCCCATGTCATGCTTTTCCGGTTATTACCCATCCGCTTGTGTGTGTGTCAGAAAATACCTCCCCAAAACGCCTCGTTGGAGATACGTCATTGTCCATTTGATTCTTCCATTTCGTTCCGGGTACGGCATGATGTCAAGCCGTACCCGGAACGAAATGGACCAATCCGTGGAGCCGTTACGTTACGTCCGCGGAGCCGTTACGTTAAGCCCCCGCTGATTGGTCCAAATTGACCAATCCACGGACTTCCTCACACACACACACACTCAGTGCAGGCAGCTCAGCTGATTTCTCCTCCCTGGCTGCAGGCTGATAACAGACAGTTGGGATCGCGGCGAAATTCTCTCTGCAGACCCATTCTCACAGCGTTTATCAACCTTTTTCTTACTCAATATCAAGCCACACTTATTGTTTTTACTTCGGCTGTGAGTTTGTGTGTGCTCAGGATGAGTTTGGCTCTGTTTCGCTGTCGCTAAGGAAACCACACCTCCACGGAGCTCAGCGCGATTCACAACGTCCCGACCAATCAGAGCACACTGTGCTCACAGGGAGGGTGGGGGCTGGAGCTATTGGAGCTACAACGAGCCGTTAAAGGCAGAGAGTGACATTCGGTGAATACACGTAGTTTACAGAGATGCTGTATGAGAAACCAATGTGAGTTTGGAAAATGTTGTAAGTTTGTGAGTTTGTAATATAAATCTATTCTAGTAGACCTCAACAATGGAATTATGATCAGTGGAAATCGCCATGACATGGGCCCTTTAAAAACTGAGTATTTGCACTTTTGAGGGATTCGAAAGACTGTTGATAGATGGCCTACTGACTTTGACCTTTAAAAAACAAGAGCACAAAAAGACTCACTGATATTTAACTGTCTGACTGACTGAGTGCATGTAGTGGAAAAAGTATTATAATGCTTTTGGGGAATTTGCCTTCCCTATAGTGTGGTATATAGTTTTTAGTGTATGTAAATGGTCTGCAAAGGCTAATATCCCCTGGAGTTTCTCTCTACTTTGTGTGTTAGTGTACCTGAGGGTCACTCTGCTGCTCCGACTCTCTGGCGGAGACTCGAGGTCTGCTCACGACCTCCTCGCTGCTCTCTGTGTCCGAGGTGTTGGGAGAATCAGATCCAGGAACTCGTCCCGTCTCTGGCCCCGGAAACGGATCCTTTCCAGATGTTTCCGCATGGTGGGTGCCGTTTAGCCGGTTGTTCTCTACCTGAACATGACTGCCGGCAGCACTGCAGACACTGAAGGAGGACAGGAACACATCATTATTAATGTTCCTAGGATACATTTTGATATATAATTTGCAACATAAATATACATTTGATTTAACTACATATCAAAAAATACAACTGAACAGAATCAACATCAGTTAATCTGACACACGTTAGAGCTGTAGCTCATTAACATCAAAATCCAAAACCCCCAAAACTACAGGTGAATCTGATTCTAATATAAACTAAAGACTGACATGAATGTGAGTCAACAATCACGTGTCAGTTCTCTCCAATAAAAACCCTTATCAAACAGTCTGTTCAGGGAGGAGGAAGTGTTTCACCAGCTGCTCTTAAACAGGGATCATAACACACAGCCTGTAAAACTGTTGTGAAATAAAGCGGAAGGAGGAAATGCATTGAGAAAATATTCCTACTTGTGCTCAATACACTATTTGAAAAGCCTCTTGGATCAGTTGTAAAATGCATCGTCACAAAGTTAAATAACAAGCCTCAACAGTTCTTCCTCCACCCCCTCTTGGCAAACAGCCACTGAGAGGTGGGACCACACTGTAAGACTAGAGTTTCCATTTCCCAGAAATGAAAGCTGAAGATTGTCGGAGCGACAACAGAGCAGCAGTGTCTCCTTTTCTCTGAAGAAACACTCAACTCAGAAGCTCTTTTCAACACAGCAGGATCTCTGCAAACTCTGGTGAGTGCTCGACAGACACATCACTCACTAAATATCTAGTCAAAGTTGGATTAAAATCTGAATCTGACTGTATTACATCCATTTGACCATATAAAGAATATTATACTATAGAAATGTGTCAGTTAAGATAATAGCAACAGCCAAAAATACAATGTAAACTCTGGGTAAGGAAGGTTCGACAGAATACAGCCAAAGCTAGCATTAGCTTGTACTTATTTTCATATTTCCTGTATTTGAAAACATCTTTATAAATGACTGTATTAAACAAAGTAGAATCTAAATATTAGAAGTGTTCTGGACTGTCCAAAGCAAGGTATCTGGTGTTTTTGGAATTGCTTATAAAAAGCACCATTTACATATTTCTTCTTATATAACTGTAACACACTGTGGTGATTAGCCTTGAGCTTTGAACCGTTCTTTCTCAGCCGCACTGTTTCTGTAATAACTGCTCCTGGCCTTTATACAGCTGATAACGTTTACTGTTAACTATTAACTTCAGTGATGTTCAGCCAGGAGGATTCACTCCTCTGTTCAACAATTCTTAGTCTTAAAATATCTCTATTAAACTTTATACTATTAAAAAACACAGTCTAATTTTTGGAAATATTCAGAAATGGTGGCGTTGACAGGAAACCAAGAGCTCGTTGACTCTTGCTAAACTAAAAGAAACGTTTTCAGATGTACTTTAACACTGAACGCTGTTTTTATTTGTGAATCAACAAGATCACACTGCAGACCAGTCGGACTCGTTCACCCGCATGTTTTTATAGGAATTTACAGGAGCCACATGCAAAGTCGTTTAGGAGCAATAACAAGAATAAATAGGCCTTTGACTTTATTAACAGAACGAAAGATTAAAGGTGGGGTAGGTGATTTTGGAGAAACCAGCTCGAGTGCGCTGGAATTTGAAAATACACAGCCGGAAAAAATCTGCCACTTCCTTACAGAGCCCCTCCTCCAACACACACGAACGCACACATGACCAATGAGGGCACGAGATAAGTTTGTGCACAGATGGAAGTCTGACAGGCAGGTTGGCCATCCAATCATTTTAGCCGGGCCGGCTCAGATGATTGGTCGTGCTTTTTACAGTACTACGGCTTCCACAGATGATATTTTTTATGGATTTTTTGTCGATATTCATTGCTATCGGGATGTTAAGAGCATTCCATGGAATATAACAAAAAGTGTATCTCGAGCCGGTTTCTCAAACTTACCTACCCTACCTTTAAGTGAGTTGGCTGTAATAATAAACACAATGATGATTGAGGATACATGTACATCAATTTATAGCAGGGTAGGAAGTACTTGATCATTAATTGAAGTAATAGTATTAATACCACAATATGGACATTTACAACAATGTTGTAAAAAACAGGTTTAAATATCCTAATTCTGGGAATTGAAAAGAAACAGTTGTTTAATTGGAGTGAAAAGTGCATAGGTCCTGCTGATTTATTTTAGTGGAAAAGTATAAATAAAGATTTATATGGAAAAGTAGAAATAAGTAGTACCTGAATACATGCACCTTTTTACTCTCCCTGTCATGGTCCTGTGTGTTTTTTAACTATATATTCTAGTTGGCTCAAATTAATGTGTGTAAATTAATCTTTGTTATTTATTACTAATTAGATTTAGTCTAAACAATTTATCATCTTATTTAATTCATTTATTAGTGTTGAGAAAAAGATCTCTATGGTATCTCTTACTTTCTCAGCACATCTGGGCTCTAATTCACTTTCACTCAGTTTCTTAATTACTATTTGTATGGAATTCAGGAAGACTCATAGTTGTCAGGACCAAACTCTGAGGCATGAACCCAAATGCACAACTCAACACAGAAGATCTTTTAAAAATTAAGTCTTTACTGGGTTTGACACAGTATACAAAGTTTCAAACAAAAACATCACTCATTAGAGGAAAAAAAACATCACTTAAAGGTAGGTTAGGTAATTCACTTCAGAAACACTTTTTATTATATTCCATGGAATGCTCTTAACACCGATAGCAATGAATATATTAAAGGCTTTGACAATAAATACATTAAAAAAACGTCATCTGTGGAAGCCGTGGCGCTGTAAAAAGCACGACCAATCATCTGAGCCGGCCCGGCTAAAATAACTGGATGGCCTACCTGCCTGTCAGCCTTCCATCTGTGCACAAACTTATCTCGTGCCCTCATTGGTCATGTGCGCGTTCGTGTGTGTTGGAGGAGGGGCTCTGTAAGGAAGTGGCAGATTTTCTCCGGTTGTGTATTTTCAAATTCTAGCGCACTCGAGCTGGTTTCTCCATTCTTACCTACCCTACCTTTAAGGTATGGTAAAACAAAATCACTCAATAGAGGACAAGGCACTGGACAAATAAATAATCCTGGCTTGGCGATAGATGCTGGTAGTCTGCGTTACACGACAAGACAAACTGGCACAAGACGAAGGGAGACTAGGACAATATATACACGAGGTAAGGGGGCACAGGTGGACACAATCGGGGCGGGGTACACCATCACAGATAAAGGTGACACACGGGGGTGGGGGAGCAAAGAGACATGGAACGAGAGGGAGAGTTACTTTAAAAAAAAAAAATGAAACAGGAAGGCTCGAAACAACACAAAGAAATAGTTTGATTCCAAATAAAGAAATTATTAAAAATATATGTTTTTTGTGTCCCAAATGTAATAAGTTCTTCTACTCAAGACCTGATCTGCAGGTCAACACTTTCATCTCTGAGATGGCTGCTCAGTTCAGACAGTCAGCTCAACAGGAAGCCAGCAGCAGCAGCTCAGAGCAACACGTTGTCAAACCAGAAGTTCCCTGTGACGCCTGCACTGGAACCAGACTGAAGGCCCTGAAGTCCTGCCTGGTGTGTCTGGAGTCCTACTGTGAGACTCACCTGGAGCCTCACCTGACAAGAGCAGGCCTGAAGAAACATCAGCTGATTGACCCTGTGGAGAACCTGGAAGGCAGGATGTGTGTGAAGCACGATAAACTGCTGGAGCTGTTCTGTAAGACCGACCAGGTGTGTGTCTGCATGATCTGCAGTGTTTCAGAGCACAAGACACATGATGTTGTTCCTCTGAAAGAAGGATATGAAGGAAAGAAGGCTGAGCTGGGGAAGACAGACGCTGAAATTCAGCTGATGATCCAGAAGAGACGACTGAAGATTCAGGAGATGAATCGCTCAGTGGAGCTCAGTAAGGAAGGAGCAGACAGAGAGATAGCAGATGGTGTTCAGGTCTTCACCGCTCTGAAGGAGTCTGTTGAGAGAAGCCAGGCCGAGCTCATCGACACCATCAAAGAGAAGCAGAGAGAGACAGAGGAACAGGCTGAAAGCTTCATCAGAGAGCTGGAACAGGAAATCTCTGAGCTGAGGAAGAGAAGCTCTGAGGTGGAGCAGCTCTCACGCTCTGAAGACCAGCTCCACCTCCTCCAAAGCTTCACGTCCCTGAGCGCTGCTCCACCCACCAAGAACTGGACAGAAGTCAGGGTCCATCCTTCATATGAGGGGTCTGTGAGGAGAGCTGTGACTCAGCTGGAGGAGACGCTCAGTAAACAGATGAAGAAGCGGCTTGAGGTCGAGCTGAAGAGGGTCCAGCAGTATGAGGTGGATGTGACTCTTGATCCTGATACAGCACATCCCTATCTCATCCTGTCTGATGATGGAAAACAAGTCAACTGGGGTGATGTGAAGAAGAATCTCCCAAACAATCCAGAGAGATTTAATAATTGTGCTAATGTCTTAGCAAAGCAGAGTTTCTCTTCAGGAAGATTTTATTGCGAGGTTCAGGTTAAAGGGAAGACTAAGTGGGATTTAGGAGTGGTCAGAAAGTCGATCAACAGGAAGGGAAACATCTCACTGTCTCCTCAGAATGGTTACTGGACGATAATGTTGAGGAATGAAAATGAGTACAAAGCTTGTGCTGTTCCTCGAGTCGGTCTCTCTCTGAAGTCTCAGCCTGAGAAGGTGGGGGTGTTTGTGGATTATGAGGAGGGTCTGGTCTCCTTTTATGATGTTGATGCTGCAGCTCTGATATACTCCTTCACTGGCTGCTGCTTCAAAGAGAAACTCTACCCATTCTTTAGTCCTTGTGACAACGATGGTGGTAAAAACTCTGCCCCTCTGATCATCTCTCCTGTCAATCACACTGAGTAGAACAAACATTTGATTTTCTACAGAAAGAGACACTAAATGTATTCAACGGGGGAAGTACATTGTAATCATTGTTATTTTTTCAGAATCTGATCAGAGACGTTTTACCTTGATGATACAAATAAACACCTAAAACACTGATGAGTATGTTCTAATACAGGGGTGCCCAACCAGTCGATCGCGATCGACCGGGAGATTCCCAGTCGATCGCGAGATGTGTCTAAAAATAGAACAACAATATTCTGTTTTATCGTTAATGTCCTATAACATAATCTTCCTCTGCCAGAATAATGCACTTGAACGCATCAAAGCTTTGTGATTGGCCGGCATAGCCCCATTATTCGGGGTGTGGCTGGTTGGCAGTGGGCACTATTTCACTGACGTTGTCCGTGTCAACAGGAGGGACAGTCCGCACACACACAAGACTGCAATTATGGCAGAAGCAAAAAAGCCCAAAATATATAATTTTCACTCCGAGTGGGAGGATGATTATTTTTGTATCTATTCCAATTCAAAGTCCATCTGTCTCATCTGCAATGCGAGCGTGGCTTTATCGAAGAAGGGTAATTTAGGAGCGGCATTTCAAAACGGTGCACAAGCGCTACGAGACGGGATTCCCTCCTAATTCTGCCCTACGCTCCCAAAAGGTGAGGGACCTGAAAGGACAGCTAAATGCACAGCAGTCACTTTTCACCAGGCCCAACAACAAGAGCAAGGCTGCTACCATAGCATCTTATCGTGTCAGTCACGTTTTGCGAAACACATGAAGTCTTTCAAAGACGGCGACGTTGTGAAAGAAGCATTCCTGGAGGCTGCCGACGCGCTTTTTGGGGACAGTAAAAATAACAGTAGCATTTCAACAGGTTTTTGATATAATAAAAACTCAAGTTAGATACCGTTATTAATCAGCTGTACGTTTTAGTTTGTTTGAACTTATTCATTGTAATTATTGTACAAAATGGTATAAGAATGCAAACTTAAATTGATTATAGTCTATTATCAATTCAGGTTAAGAAACTAGTGTTGCTTGCATCCTATTTTAAAAGGCATTTATTTTTATACTCTACTAAAATGCAATGGCTACGCCTCTCTATTTGGACTGGTAGATCTCGGCAGACTGGCAACTTTAAAAGTAGCTCTCGGTTCAAAAAAGGTTGGGCACCCCTGTTCTAATATAATCTACTTCATTCTACGGATTGCACCTCTTTCAATTTCTGGGTGAAAATGTTTTATTTATTTTCTCAAGTTGTGTGTAAAAAACGTGTTTCATACTAGCTTACATAACTAGTGGAAGTAATGCACTCCTTTTTCTTTAGTAAAATACTGTATATATACATGTTTTTTTTTAATAATTTTAAGTTGAGGGAAAAATGATGGGTCTCTGACATGTTTTAAAATGGTATATTCAGGATTCATGCTTTAATTACAGTATATTGGTACAAAATGTATGTACAGTTACTGCGAGAATCAACAATATCTGATCATAAAACATTATGCTGCAGTGGTTTAAGAAACGAGGGAAATGAAAATGTTACAGCTCAGCTGTCTGTTGTGTGATGTTAATTCTATTTTGTCCACCTCTCTGCACACTGCTTGTATAGTTTGAATAAAGTCGAAAAAAGAGCCAATGGATTTAAAAAATATATATTCTTTGTCTTTTTAACAAATGTTTTAACAGAAGAACAGTTTTCACTAGTTCTCAACTTAAAGTGGACCTATCATGCTATATTTGAATAATATAGTGTAGGACCATACCTATATAAGGCATATTTATACTTTTTCTTTTTCAAAATACCAAACAGATCATGCATTTTAGCCATGCCTCATTTAGCTCAATTTGACATTTTTTAGCTCTGTTTTTGCAAGGGCAGATTCTGTGAGAACAGCACCATCTACAGGCCTGGCATATGTACTACAGCGTCTCCAGCGCTTTCGAACGGCAATGGCCGTGGCTGTCTCCTCCTGATTGGTGGAGTTGGCCCAATAGCCGTAGCGCCACTGTCCTGACGTCAGGACAGTGTTCAAATCTGGATCAGTTTTTATCAGATCCGTTGCAGCCCCTTTTTTAGAGATTTGGGTATGGAGGAAAATAGAGAGGGTTGTGTTTTCTGGCACTTGGTGAGTTCCCTGGAACACCGGGGACACATATTCATGTATAAAAGACGTACAAAAGTGCATTTTGCATGATAGGTCCCCTTTAAGTAAAGTAGCTTAAAAAAATGTACTTGACTATTTCCATTTGTATATTTCTACCTCACTACATTTGTCTGACAGCTTTGGTTCTTCTCAGGCTTTATACACAATTGTAAAACCTCTTGGATCAGCTGATCATAGATATTAAGATTGCTGTGTATGTTTCTTAGAAATAAGGCCATCAACTGGTTAGCTTAGCTTAGCATAAAGACTGGAAGAAGGGGAAGACAAAGCCAGCCTGTCCAAATGTAACAAAATCCACCTATCAGCAGCGGTAAATCACCGCGGTGAAGTTAGTTTTAGGTTGGATATTCGACGGACATTCGCGGACCAGCCAGCAGCGTCAGTTTCCCCTGCTGCTGGCTGTATTACGACGGGGAGATCTTCTGCGCGAAACGAGGCTTTCACTTAGGGACCATCGATCGTGTGAATGTGAAGCAAATTCACTCTAGAGCATTCATTTATTGAACACACCTCTTTTTATTGCATTTTAATACTGTAAATATTTTATATTAATATTTTGATGGAAAAATTAGCTTATTTCTTCAATACCTTCCAGGTCATGTGAACTAATCACTCAAAATCAATGCTGGGTCAAAGAACTACACTGGCTGCATAGGACACACCTCTTGTTATTCCATTTTAATACTTTAAATATTTTATATTAATATTTTGATGGGAAAATTAGCTTATTTCTTCAATACCTTCCAGGTCATGTGACCTAATCACTCAAAATCAATGCTGGCTCAAAGAACTACACTTGCTGCTTAGGACACACCTCTTTCTATTCCATTTTAATACTCTAAATATTTTATATTAATATTTTGATGGAAATATTAGCTTATTTCTTCAATACCTTCCAGGTCATGTGACCTAATCACTCAAAATCAATGCTGGGTCAAAGAACTACACTGGCTGCATAGGACACACCTCTTGTTATTCCATTTTAATACTCTAAATATTTTATATTAATATTTTGAAGGAAAAATTAGCTTATTTCTTCAATACCTTCCAGGTCATGTGAGCTAATCACTCAACATCAATGCTGGCTCAAAGAACTACACTTGCTGCTTAGGACACACCTCTTTTTATTCCATTTTAATACTCTAAATATTTTATATTAATATTTTGAAGGAAAAATTAGCTTATTTCTTCAATACCTTCCAGGTCATGTGAGCTAATCACTCAACATCAATGCTGGCTCAAAGAACTACACTTGCTGGTTAGGACACACCTCTTTATATTCCATTGTAATACTCTAAATATTTTTATATTAATATTTTGATGGAAAAATTAGCTTATTTCATCAATACCTTCCAGGTCATGTGACCTAATCACTCAAAATCAGTGCTGGGTCAAATAACTACACTGGCTGCATAGGACACACCTCTTGTTATTCCATTTTAATACTTTAAATATGTTATATTAATATTTTGAAGGAAAAATTTGCTTATTTCTTCAATACCTTCCAGGTCATGTGACCTAATCACTCAAAATCAGTGCTGGGTCAAAGAACTACACTAAATAAGCTAGTTTTTCCATCAAAATATTAATATAAAATATTTGTAGTATTAAAATGCAATAAAAAGAGGTGTGTCCTACGCAGCCAGTGTAGTTCTTTGAGCCAGCATTGATTTTGAGTGATTAGGTCACATGACCTGGAAGGTATTGAAGAAATAAGCTAATTTTTCCATCAAAATATTAATATAAAAATATTTAAAGTATTAAAATGCAATAAAAAGAGGTGTGTCCTATGCAGCAAGTGTAGTTATTTGATCCAGCACTGATTTTGAGTCATTATGTCACACTACCTAGCAGTTATTGAAGAAATATGCAAATGTTTCCATCAAAAATATTAATAAAACGTATTTAAAGTATTAAAATGCAATAAAAAGAGGTGTGTTCAATAAATGAATGCTCTAGAGTGAATTTGCTTCACATTCACACGATCGAGAAGCTGTCGATTTATTAAAAAGAACATTTTTCTTGTGTAATTGTAAAAGTCATTTGTTGATGGTCCCTAAGTGAAAGCCTCGTTTCGCGGAGAAGATCTCCCCGTTAAACTGACGCTGCTGGCGGGTCCGGGAAACTGACGCTGCTGGCGGGTCCGCGAATGTCCGTCGAATATCCAACCTAAAACTAACTTCACCGCGGCCTCTAAATCCAGTTTGTTTAATCCATACCAAAACAGAGGAGTAAAAACATCAATCAGACGTTTAACAGGAGATTATGGGTCGGGCTACTTCTTGGCTGGGACCAAAACAAGTTGCTAAATTGTTTTTACGTTTCAGTTTTCGTACAGAGATTTTTGAAGAATTAGACATTTTTCAGAATGTGACCTTTTTTGATGTTCACATTTTTATTCACATTCTTTTCTTTTTCTCTCAGAATGTGTATATTTTTTCAAAATTTCAATTTTCTCAAAACTTTATTTTTCTCAAAAGAAAATTACTTTTTTCTAAAAAAATCACTTTTTTCTGAGAATTTGACATTTTTCTAAGATTATCAGCAATTTTCACTTTCCCAATTTTCAAATTCTTTTCTCCAATTTTCATTTTTTCTGGGATTTCGATTTATTTCTGAGAACTACATTTTCTTTCTCAGAATTTCACTTTTTTATTTCAAAATTTCACTTTTTTAATTAGCAAGCAGCGCTAACACTCAGAGCTAAGCTGTACTGGAGAGAGTATGTGTAAAGAAGCAGGACATATAAAAAGGAACTCACCTTGTGGTAAACCTGAGAGAGAAAAAGAGTTTGAGCTCCATACTGTTTCAGAAATAATCCTTGATGTGGTTTTGAACATGATATGGAGTTTAATCCCGGTAGCATTTAGCTGAGAATCTGCTTCTCTCTGCAGCTTTCTGCACACATGCAGCTCTGCTGGGGGCGTGGCCTCGTAGCTACTGACCCAGAATCAGCACTTTAGTAACAGGGCTGAAATAGAGGGGTGAGGCTACAATGGGTGATCTGTTTGGTATTTTGAA